CCATTTTACAACCCCAATGTAAAAGTTGATTTTGGCAAGGGCCATTAATTTATGCTAAAATCATTGAGTGAAAGGTTAATGGGGAACAAGATATTCACATGGTCTCAAAGTATTACCCCACAGATTACTTAATGATTACAAGGAGATATACCTGTTCAGTGGAGAGATCTAGTCACCACCTTGTCAGATCTCTAGGCTGGGGTGGTTTTGTGGTGGCTTAGCCTCAGAGATGATGGGGAGAAGTGGCTGCTTACCTCTGAAGCAAGACACACTACAGCAGTAGTTCTAATTCCATTGTCATGTAGCACCTTGGCTGAAACTGTGCCTTATGTGGGCCACAGTGAGTGGGGCACAGTATTGGATCTCTGGGGGGAGCACAGCTATGTGGATTCCAGGCAGCTCCCTCAGCAGGGTTTAGTGCCTATGAGGACTGCAGTGGGCCCCAGTGGTGAGGTCTGTACCTGTCCAACGTGTTGATGGAATCCCTTACTTACCACCTCACCATAAGGGGAAGTCCTCCTTCCTAGTTGATCCCAGTTGGGGGATGCAGTGGTGGAGGCCTGGCATTTCTTCTCATTCTCTGTTCTCTAAGTGGCCATCCTGAGTTTCTGTGCTCACCAGGGTTTCTATTAGTCCTCTGATACACTCTAGAACTCTCCCTGTTATTTTTGTTAAAATATAGTTGCTTATTAGTTGTTCTGACTGTCTTTGTGAGGAAGATGAGTGCTAGGGACTTCTAATAGACCATGTTGCTAATATTACTCTCCTCAAAGCTTGTTCTAAGCCTTAAACATTCCCTCTAAAAGACATAAGGTTATTTCTAATATTTCAATATTATGAATATACTTTGTGTTTTAATTTCATACATATCCTTATTTACTTAGAATATTTATAATTAATTCTTTTTTTGCGGGGGAGGGGATGGAGTCTTGCTCTGTGGCCCAGGCTGGAGTGCAGTGGCACAATCTCGGCTCACTGCAACCTCCACCTTCTGGGTTCAAGCAATTCTCCCTGGCTCAGCCTTCCAAGTAGCTGGGAGGCACCCACCTGTAGGCACCCACCACCATACCTGGCTAGTTCTTGTATTTTTAGTAGAGACAGGGTTTCAACATGATGGCCAGACTGCTCTCGAACTCCTGACCTTAGGCGATCCACCTATCTCAGCCTCGCAAAGTGCTGGGATTACAGGCATGAGCCACTGTGCCCCTGCTATTTGTAATTAATTCTAAGAATTCTTTGTGGAGAATTCTTACATAAATAATAGTTTCTTCTTCGTAAGACAATCAATCCTCTCGTTTCATGGTCACCAGTTTCATGGTTCCTTCTTAGACCCACTTCAGGGCAGATTCATTTTGTGCAACTTCAACTTCACTTTCTCTGCTATTCAGAAGTAATCTAGTCATCCTCTTTTAACTTGTTAGAAAGCAATATGTCTTCTTAAGCATCAGTTCCTTAAGTCCTCATGACATGGCCTTGCATTCTTTTTCCTAAAACTATATTTATTGACATCTTCACAGTCCAAGTGATGTATGAAAACATATGTATTTATTTATCACATGATTACCTGATCATGTTATCCTCATAAATGCTGAAACATTGTAAGTTAAAGGTACCCCGTCTGGACAGTAGAGATTCTGTTGTAAACGCTGGTGATGAGGAGTTCGAGAAGAGCCTGGCCAACATAGTGAAACCCCATCTCTACTAAAGATACAAAAAGTAGCCGGGCATGGTGGCACATGCCTGTAACCCCAGCTACTCGGGAGGCTGAGACATGAAAATCGCTTGAACCCCAGAAGGCAGAGGTTGCAGTGAGCCAAGATCACATCACGGCACTCCAGCCTGGGTGACAGAGCAAGACTCTGTCTCAAAAAACAAAAAAATGAACTGATGATGATCGTCCCAAAGCCAGGGAGCTGCACAGGTGAGAGGAAAGAAAGCTTTTTGTCCAAGTTGCCCTCTCATAGCCTAGACAATGCTCTCTGTCCTGCGCTGCAACCACCACCACCTCAATTCCCCCAATATGCACGTACACACCAGTTCAAAACAGTCCTTTATCTACCCAGAGCTTCTTACGGTTTGCTTGTTATTTCCTGGATTCCTATAGTTTCTTTAAGTTTGATCTTAGGGGAAGGAGTCAGCAGCCAATTTCTTTCAACATACTCATCAAAAAATGCCATTAAGACTGGGCTTAGTGGCTCAGGCCTGTAATCACAACACTTTGGGAGACAGGAGAATTGCTTGAGGCCAGGAGTTCAAAACTAGCCTGAGCAACATAGCAAGATCTGGTCTCTACAGAAATTTTTTTTTTTAATTTGTTTTTAAATACCATTAAACACATTAAAACAGTGCTACAACAAAGGAGTGGGGCATGGGTTAAAAGAGAATAAAAGAATAAATGAATTAAACAGGAGTGTCCTTGCGTAGGACAAGAAGTCAAATAGTGTTCAGGGCTTATTATAAGAAAGAGCAATTCTGGCCGGATGTGGTGGCTCACGCCTGTAATCTAGCACTTTGGAAGGCCGAGGCGGGCAGATCACGAGGTCAGGAGATCAAGGCCATCCTGGCTAACATAGTGAAACCCAGCCCCACTAAAAAAACAAAATATTAGCCAGGTGTGGTGGTGGGTGCCTGTAGTCACAGCTAATCAGGAGGCTGAGGCAGGAGAATGGCATGAACCTGGGAGGCAGAGCTTGCAGTGAGCCAAGATTGCGCCACTGCACTCTAGCCTAAAGAAAGAGCAATTCTTTGGCCTATCATATTCTACCACAATTCCCATAACCCCTAACATTCAACTTACTCAGATTTTTCTTTTGGAACTTGCTTTGCATTTCTAAACAAAGTTTTAAAACTCTTATTTCTTGATTTTTCAATTTTAGATGTTTTCTGTTGGCTAGAGAGGGAGATTTATTGTGAAGCTAATAAAGCTTAAGTTTCAGAGTCCCTCATTTTCATGGGCCTTCTCCAAGGCCCTATTCTTAACCATTGAATTTGGAATTTTATTTTCTTACATAGCATTCAGCTTGGTGCTGTGGCTCACGCTTGCAATCCCAGCACTTTGAGAGGCCGAGGCAGGAGGATTCCTTTAGCCCAGGAATTCAAGACCAACTTGGGGAACATATTGAGAACCCTGTCTCTACCAAAAATAAAAAATAAAAAAAAAAATAGCCAAACATGGTGGTGTGTGTCTGTGGTCCCAGCTCAGCAGGCTGAGGCAGGAGGATCATGCCATTGCACTCCAACCTAGGTGAAAGAGTGAGACTGTCTTAAAAAATACATTTTTAAAAAATTTGGCCGGGCACAGTGGCTCATACCTGTAATCCCAGCACTCTGGGAGGCCAAGGCAGGAGGATCATGAGGTCAGGAGATCAAGACTATCCTGCCTAACATGGTGAAACCCAATCTCTACTAAAAATACAAAAAATTAGCCCAGCGTGGTGGCACGTGCCTGTAGTCCCAGCTACTTGGGAAGCTGAGGCAGGAGAATCGCTTGAACCCAGGAGGCGGAGGTTGCAGTGAGCTGAGATCAGGCCATTGCACTCCAGCCTGGGCGACAGAGCGAGACTCCGCCTCAAAAAAAAAAAAAATTATCTTAAAGAGCATCCTCCAAATCATGTATGCGTCTGGCCCTACAAGCCCTGAATCCACCCTTGATTTACTACTTTGGATGATGAGGGCTTAGCTAACTTAGATCGTAGCCCTTGCAACACACACCAATACACAAACATTTCCCCTTCCCAGTTTCCCAAAATGTAGTCAAGCTATTAATTTTTAGTTAGTTTATCATGTTTTAACCTCTAAGGGCCCTTTCTTGTTATCTTTTTTTTTTTTTTTTTGAGACAGAGTCTGGCTCTGTCGCCCAGGCTGGAGTACAGTGGTGCGATCTCAGCTCACTGCAAGCTCCGCCTCCCAGGTTCACGCCACTCTCCTGCCTCAGCCTCCCAAGTAGCTGGGACTACAGGCGCCCGCCACCACGCCCGGCTAATTTTTTGTATTTTTAATAGAGACGGGGTTTCCCCGTGTTAGCCAGGATGGTCTCGATCTCCTGACCTCGTGATCCACCCGCTTCTGCTTCCCAAAGTTCTGGGATTACAGGTGAGCCACAGCACCCGGCCTTTTGTTATCTTTTCTGCATTAGCCTGTTCTTTGTCTTACGGATCCTATATTTGATCTCTCCAGCAATATTGTAGGGGTTGTCTTATTTTGTTTGTTGGTTGGTTTTT